TTTTTGTGGAGAACGGGGTCTTGCTATATTGCCCAGGCAGGTCTCGAACTCCTGGGCTTAAGCTATCCTCCCGCCTCTGCCTCCCTAAGAGCTGGGATTACAGGCGTGAGCCACAGCGCCCGGCCAGCATGACTCAAATGTAAAATTAAGTGGTGACTTGAAATTCTAGAGTGAACTTTATACAGAAAAGGAACGTCTACATGTAGACACTGAGAACTCTTGGGAGGGGGAAAAGATTTGGATATGGTTATAGTTTTGACTTTGCAAATGATCAATTTTTGCAGAATTAGATGGAAAAGATCCAGTGCTTTTTATAGTTCAAACACAGACAAATGCTGGTAAGTCTCCAAAAATTTGATTAGAAGTTGGAGTGCTGAGTGATTTTAAGAACCTGAAGCAACAGCATTTCTAAACAATTCTTAAAATAAACTTGTTAGCCACATCAGCGTTGTGCATTAAATTTCACAACTCATGGAGAGGGGAAAAAAAAGCCTTGCTTAACTCTAAACACACAAGTTTTAGAAGAAGAATTTTAATGAAGTGTGGCTCCCAGAACAGGAAAAGCCTTATGTTAAAACAATTTAGTCCTCGAGTCCTTGGCTAACAACTGGATTGAACTACTTAACTGACTTGGAGCTGAAGTGTCCTGGAAAACATATTTTAAAATTTTTAACACTTTTCTCCCCTTGTAGAACACTTTAAATGTAAACTTAAAGTCTAGACTATACAGATCAAATTCAAGTTAATGACTATATAACCAAACTAAGTGGCAGACAGTGCAAAGGTGAAGAACTGAGGATTTATATACTAAAACAGAAACAGGGCCATCATTATTTAATTTTTAAAACTCTCATTTAAATTTGCAACGTTTTGGCCAGGCATGGTGGCTCAAGCCTATAATCCCAGCACTTTGGGAGGTCAAGGCAGACCAGCCTGGTGAAACCCTGTCTCTACTAAAAATACAGAAATTAGTCGGGCATGGTGGCGCTCACTTGTAATCCCAGCTACTCAGGAAACTGAGGCAGGAGAATCCCTTGAACCCGGGAGGTGAAGGGTGCAATGAGCCAAGATCACGCCACTGCACTCCAGCCTGGGCAATAGAGCAAAACCCAACCTCAAAAAGAAAAATAAATAAAATAAATTTGCAATGTTTTAAATGAATATCACTTAAAGTAGTAATCAACAGAAGTTAGGAGAACATAATAATACTCTTTCTCTTAGAAAGTACAACAAAAATATAATTTTTTACAGTTTTACTCTCAAACTTTTTTCTGTACTAACATGCCTTACTCACCTCTACAATAGTTTTGTTGTGAGAATCTTGTAATATAAACCCTGGATGTTCTATGAAGCATTTTTAAACTTCTAATTTATACCCTA